GTACCTGCAAAGCAAACTGACATTTGTGTGTTCAATACCTGCAAAGCAAACTGACATTTGTGTGTTCGGTACCCGCAAACTGACATTTGTGTGTTCAGTAGCAGGCAGTGTTGAGGCACTGGGTACATGAAGATGCATAAGCTGCAGTCCTAATCCGCTAAGAGTTCTCAGGTGAATGGGAGGATAGTGGAAGGAAACCACAGCAAAGAGGGCTGACCTTTGTCACTGGGGCAATGGGAAATGTTGAGGGGGGAAGGGTTGTGGCTAGATTTTTGTTTTAAAGGTTTTCTCTAATAAAATTACAGAGAAAATTGAAAGCAGGATCAGACAGATGAATCGAGGCTTCTTCAGATTCAATGGTTTACACATATGTCTAAAAAATCATAAACAAAAATAATACGTAAAAGGAGAACAGAATGTAATGCAATAAAGATAACAGAGATGGTGTCTTCAGTGTACTAGCAATGCAAAGAAAAAATAGACAAACGATTTAGAATTCACAGGAAAAAAAGAAATGGTCAGTAAAAATGAAAAACTGTTTAAGCATTAATATTTTTAAAATGCATATTTGAACAATTACAAGTTACTGATTTCGCCACATTAGATTGGAGAGGATGGAGTAAGTCAACACTGACACTGGGAATGAAAAATAATGAAATCCTTCTGAAAGCAATTTTACAATATGTATCAAGAGTCTCCAAAAACCATTACATCTTCAACCTAAAAATTCTACTACTTTAAATCAATTATTTTCTCTAAGAAAATAGATATTCAAAGATTTATAAGCCAAAATATTCAATGTAGGATAATTTATAACCAAGAAAAGGGGAAACAATCTACATTTCAATAATAATTGGGAGGCTCAATATATTATGGCCTCACCCATCAATAGACTATTATATGGTCATTTAAAGTGAAAAGGAGAAAGTGTTTGCTATGTGCTATTAACTATGAAAGAATAAGAATGATACACAATTGCTTTCATATTATAATGCCGATAAGATCATTCCAGTGTGTACCTGTGTCTGTAGAGATGAATGAATTCTAGCTAGGTAGGCAATTAGTCATGAAAAAACGATTAAAAGAATGAAAGGAAATATATCAAATTGTTAACAGGGCTTATTGCTTTACTAGACGTTTTCTGCATTAAAAATGACCCACAGTTCTTTAAGCTGTGTTTATCATATTAATAATATTATTAATAACAATGATAAGGTAGGAGAAAAATCAAAAATTATTAACAGCATAGAAGCCATAACAGAGAATTTTAATAAAACTGAAAACTCACTGTAAAACTCCATACAGACTATTGTAGAATTATGAAATGCATGATCCCCAGTGTTACGGATTGAAAATAAAATGGATTTAAAATTGGTTTAGCGGCATTTCTAATGATGCCACAATATAGCACACCTTTGGGATTTCCTGCCTGATGTAAGCCTTGCAGTCTTACAGAAAAATATCATTCTGGAATACATGGTCCACTGTTCTGACTCAGCCATGAGAAAGCCCACGTTTCCCTTCTGCATCAAGAACACTGGCATGTGTCACCTTGTGTGTCATAGAAATACTAATTTTAGTGACTAGTTTTAGAAGAACAGGCTAGAGATTCCCCCAGGCACCACTCTCACTATTTAAGGAAAAAGTACATACTATGTATGACATAAGCCATTTCTTTCATCCTTCCAATTTAAATGAGCAATTCTGTTGTTTATCCCTCATTCACTCTGCTCAAGCAGAATCTCTTGAGCACAAATGTTCTGGAATTAGTATCATTTAAAACTTCAGAACAGCCTACATTGCCCGATTTAGAAAAGGCTTTTCCACCTTGTAATTCACTTGTGTGAATCAATAGAAATTCTAAACTGAGCAATTCAGTTGTGGCTTTAATAGTTACTAAGATTCCTGGAACATTTTTACACAAATGCATTGTCAGCTGCTAGCTTGAGTAACTTGCAGCATACTGAGACAAAAATTAGCCTGACGAAGACAGAATTCTGTAACACATGCCAATCACATGAGCCTACCCATTCTGTACACTAGAATTATATCTGAAATATCAGACAGGCTCAAGTAGTCCAGCTTTCGTTAGTTATCACACAGTAACAAGTGATATAAAATCCTTGTGATTTACAATAATAAAGATTCACTTCTTTTTCATGATACACAATAGCTGGGTCAGCTCCAGCTCTACTCCATGCCTTCATTCCAACCTTCAGGCTAAAGGAGTAGCTCTTTTCTAGAATATGCTCTTCTTTTGGTGGCTGTGAGACATGGGAAATTGAACCACATGATGGTTCTAAAACCTTCTGCTTGAACATGTCCATGGCACTTTTGCATGTATTTCATTGCCTAACACAAGTTCAGTGGCCAATCCTGATATAAACAGGACATGGAAGTATAATCCCCTGACACAAAGATCAGGAAATAACTGAGGAATAATACTGCAATCTGCCACATCAAGTACCTGAAATATATCATATTTTAATAGTATTCATAGAATACTATATATCTAAGCAGTATATATAGAATACCATGTATCCGTGCAGTATATATAGAATACTACAACTTTGGATCTATGATCCGTGTATTTATGTGTGGAGAGATAGATAGATAGAGGAAATAGATTGTGAAGACAGAATAAAAGATAGGTAGGTAGACAGACAGATGGACAGACAGACAGACAGACAGACAGACAAAGCAATGCATAGATGGCTTCATTAGCAAAAGACTTTGGTATGTCAAGAACTGTAGAACCATTTGGCCAGCCAAAAAGAAGCAAGGATACTTCTTCCAATCTATCAGGAAGGAAATTAAAGAAATCAGATACAGATACAGCTGGTACTAAAATGATAATCTATACACATTTTGCTGTACAATTAGGCTAAACATAAACACAAATTCAGACTACTAGCTTGGAATCTAATATTGGTCTCCATATCATTTTCCTGCCCTACCTACTCACCCACTCAACCCATCCAAATAGACTGTGTGACTGACTGTCATTCCATGATCCATAGATTTTTATCTGGCATCTCATTTTTTTCTGTTCCATAGCTAAGTACAAACTATTTAAATATTGGCTTCCAACTTTACTTGTTAAGCCACAAACAGCCTTTTGCTCTGATTTATTTGTTCATTTGTTTGTTTTTTGGTTTACCCACGATTCAGCTATCTCTCTAATAGGAGCACCAATTCCTGCATCAGTGTTTTCTATTCCCACCTTTCTGTGCCTATGTGAGACACACAACTTAGAGTCACTTCAGTGTGAAAATAACCTTCTTGTTGGAAATCCAAAATATATCCCCTCACGTTGGCTAGGAATCTAATCTACATCATTTTCTATGTTACATCTATATAATGCCTCCACCTCATCTGTCGTCTTAGCTCATCTCATGTTATGTCCTTGTTGAACCATCTCCCACACAGTGTCCTGAAGGCTGCATTTGCTCATATGATGGTAACAATGCCATGCTCCAACTTTGAGTATTTCTAGGATACAATATTTATATTGAGCTTTCCCCAACTCCAACGCCTCCTTAGAAGAGATCTACTTCTATTTGCATTCTTTTTCTTGAAGACAAAATACTTTGTTATCTTTGTTCCTTTATCACTGCGAACAAAGCCAAGCTATGAAGGAGCCTGGCTTTCTAGTGCTAGAAAACTTGACATGATCTCTCAGATGAAGATCCAGGAAAATAAGATCTTACTCATCATTTTCATTCCATCTGGCTACTATTATTTCTCATAACAGTAAATGATACTAACCAAGATACCGTTAATAAAAATCCTATGCTTTTGGAGGTGATAGATATATTGATGGATTGATTGTGGTAATGGTTTCTTGAGTATATACTTATCTCCAAATTCATCAAGTTGTATGAAATTATGCACAGCTTCTGGTAAACAAAATATCCTATGCTAACAGTCTCTAAGTGGTCATTATTCAGTGTGCCTACAAAAACATCTAGTAACATCAATTGAAAGTTACATTATTGTTTTCTCATTTAGCAATCCAATTCCTCAGGTATACCAAGAGACTTTCTAGTCCCCCCAATATTTAATATCTTGAACCTCGAGAATACTTCGTCTTCCCAAAGATTCCAATTAATATGCTATATTTGTGAGAGCTCTCCTAATCCTCTTCTTCAAATATAGATCTCAACTGGAAAAGCTCCTCCTGTGTTTATCCTTATCTAGGTGCTTCAGAAAGGCCATTTAAGTTCAGAACTGGAGATACGAACCTCTGGCATCAAGTGTCATTTGATGGTTATGCTGCACATAATCCATATCCTGTACTAGATTCTGAGATCGTTTCTAGCATCCCATTTGAATTTCTATTCCTTGCCTGCTCCCTTATATCTGGCTTGAAACATAAACCATGAATATGAAGTTAAATGTTTCATCTATCTGTGTTCTGCTCTGATTGGACACTGAGAAACACTCCAGGGTGTACACACTGATTAGGGTATCACTCTTACATGGCTTGGATATTTTTCTCCCAACCTTGACCAAGAAGTTTACATTTGAAGCCCTGCTCTTACCCTACCATTTGGTATGAGATCTTAGATTTTTCATGTCAGCTTCAGGATGAGAGCCCTGTCTCCCTAAGCAGCTTGAAGTCCTTTTCCTAGGTTCTTCTGATGTCCCCTGTCCTATCTGTCCTAGACCCATCTACACTGGCGGGCATTTTGCTCTGACTGGCTCATAATAAAGGGATGACCTCACCAGTGATCAGCATTGTCAAAACACACTTCAAATGTTAGCTCTAAGTGTATGATAGATGCGAAAATTGATATACAGAGATAGATGTTAAATAATTTAACAAGAGATACTTGTTAAATAATTTCTGAGTTTTTAATCAGACTTTTTTTTAACTGCATTGCTTAGATTTTTTGGTGAGTTTGACCCATGAAAATAAACTTATTTCTCCTCCACTTTTAGATGGTCCAGCCATCTATGCAGCATATTTAAAAATGGAGCACAGTGATGAGAATATTAAATTCTGGATGGCATGTGAAACCTATAAGAAAATTGCCTCACGGTGGAGCAGAGTTTCTATGGCAAAGAAACTTTATAAGATTTACATCCAGCCACAGTCTCCTAGAGAGGTAACTACCTGACAATGACAGAAATGGAAATCAGTTAATCCCTGCAAGGGCACGAATATCTGTCAAGCATCCATAAGTGCCGGGCACTTTACAACCAATATCTCCTAAAATGCCGTAAATTCAGTACTGCTGACCTTATTTTACAGATAACAAACCTGAGACTCTGAGAACTGGCCCAGTGTTGCACAGTCATTAAGTGGTAAAGTTAGGATTCAAAATTAGATTTACTGGTTCCAAAGCTTCTCCCCATTAAATTATCTTATCTTCCAGGAAACTTAAAAGAAAAAAGGAGTCTGTGGCAAAAGCATTGGGCTTGCCAGCAGGAACTGTACATACCATGAAGAGACATGTGGAAATTCTGCGTTGTTGGGCAATGAGAACTAAAAAGTCCTGTAAGGGAACAGAGAGGACAGTGTATGAGATTTCTACCATGCAGGGCAAGCCCATGTTATTGACACATTCCCCAAAACTCTTGTCTGGAAAATACTTGGTTTATTGAAATAGCCACTTCTCTCCTCTATTTATCCAACTCTCTTCATTTTCTTCCCATTTCAGAGCATATTCAGTTAAAGCAACATTTGTGACTATTAAAGGAAGATAAATTGTAAAATAGCACCAACTTCTCTTTTTTTAAAATGAGACGTTTGTCTTATAAACTTCCTGGTTTGTAGACTGCTACTGAAAAACCACTTACATCCTCCGGAAATAGCCACGGTTTCAGAGACTTCCCTAGTCTTGAGCCTTATGATTTTATTTTTTGTTCCTCTTGGATGTGGAAGTGGATATTTACTTTTAAAAAAGCACAATGCTTATTTTTTATATATCTTACTAGATGCCAATAAAAATACAAAGAAAATTACCCTATTCCACTGAAAAGGAGAGCAGGAAATAAATTAAGTCTTTCTATTCTATGTGCCTTTTTTCAACAATGCTTACTTATGCTGTACATGTAATTTCACTTTTCAGATTAACATTGACAGTTCGACAAGAGAGACTATCATCAGGAACATTCAGGAACCCACTGAAACATGTTTTGAAGAAGCTCAAAAAATAGTCTATATGCATATGGAAAGGGATTCCTATCCCAGATTTCTAAAGTCAGAAATGTACCAAAAACTTTTGAAAACTATGCAGTCCAACAACTGTTCCTGACTGTAACCCAAAACTTTAAACAGAAAACAGTATATTGAAAGTGGTGGGTTTGATCTTTTAATTTAAAAAAACACAAAACCAGGAACACAGTACTAATAGAACAGAAATCAAACTATAAATTGACTTTTAGTTCCTAAAAAGAAACAGATGCCAAAAGCAATGGAATCTAGAATTTTTATAACATGAGTAACAAAATTTACAGCATACCTATGTAGTGCAATTAAAATATAATGAAAAGGAGAGTCCTTCTTCATTACACAAACATTATGAAGTTTCTACTGTAGTAGTCAATTAATGGATATTTCCTTTATTAATAAAATTCACTGTCATACGAATTTGTTCTATAAAAACTGTCATATGAATTGTGTTTCTAGCATGAAGATGTTCTATAGAGTACTCTTAATAACTTGAATTTATAGACAAATGCTATTCACAACACAATCAATTGTATTATACCATGAGAAATATCAAAAAGATATGTTCTTGACAGACATTTTATCTATAAAAATTTTCTATTTTGTTCATAACCAAACTTCTTTATCACATGTATCTTCTACATGTATAACATTTCTGATGATTCTAAGCTCTTAAAAAATATATGAATTTCTTCGTTTGCGCTTATATTTACATTGCTGTAAGGACATAAAATGTGGTTTCTATATTTTGAGATTTTTTTTCCTTACAATGTGAACTCATTGTTGTATTGGAAATCAATAAAGCCAAATATCAACTGAAGACTTACATGATTTTTTTCAAAGGCAAAACAAATATATTTTCTACTACAAATTTCAAAAGGCCTAAGTTGGTATAACAGTGACAATATTTTTTTTTATTTTCCATAGTTTTCCTGGAAAGTGTAGACAATTTAACACATTCATTGGCTATTACCATCTTATCACTTTCAAATATTAATAGAATCCAGATTCAACATCCATAATCAAAAGCTCATCATAATATTTACGAGTGTAAAATTTGATCTGTTCCGTTTTATACTTGAAAGGGAACAAATCAGAAATTTCAAGTCTTGTATTCCTGAAGGAAGAAAACATTCAAAAATGATTTTTCCCTATTCGAATCATTTTTAAATATGCATGTTTTCTCTTGATTTGGAAAAGTAGCTTAAAATAGACTCATTTGACCCTTGTGGGGAAGCAAAGTTTTCCCTGTAATTCTAGTGATTCACTAATTGGTTTACCACTGAATTATTTATTCCATGAGTCATTACATTTTATTGGTACCAAGAAGTGTAAATTTGGTCAGTCAGATGCTTCTGTAGTTCACGAAATCACAGGTGTTTTTCTGTAGTGCTTTCCACTTTTAAAAGGCGGGCTACGTGACTACACAGTCTATCACAGCATAGGTGCTAAGAAGGGCTAAGTCGCTAAACCATCTTGCTTACAGCTCTGAAATAAAAAAAGAGAAAACTAGCAAATAAATAAATAAATAAGTGAATAAACAAAGAAGCATCATTAGTATAATTTAAATACACTTTGATTCAGCACAATGGAAAGAATACTGAATCCATTGTTAAGAAAGCTGGGTTTCAGTTCTGGACTTCCCAGATTAGCTATATAAATTTCTTTAGGTCTAGGTAAACTATAGAATATTACACAAATTACTTATTTTCCCTGCTTCTCTGTTTTCTCTTCTTTAAAATGAGGTAATTAAAATAGATAATACCTTATTTCCTTTCCAGCTTCAAAATCCTGACTACCTTTAGTACTTTAAAAAAAAATTTCCTCCTAGTGAATCATGGAAAAATACTTTTAAATTACTGAGTTCAATATCTGAAGGGTTTTTTTTTTTGTGACATTCTCTTGCCTTGCCTCTAATTTTGTAAATATAATACTATGACATATATTCAAAGCAGAACTTTGCCAAACAATCACTCTTCTAAGATCACATGTTCAGATGTTTGTAAATCAGGAACAATCTCTGGTGCTCCCACTTGCTCCCTTAACCGAGCCCTTCCCACAACATTAACTGCTGAAGCTAGTGTTTTAGCTCCAAGAAAAGCCCTCAAAAATTGTAGAAACCAGTACGGACGTTCCTCAAAAAATTAAACTACCATATGATCCAGTAATCCCACTTCCTTATATTTATCCAAAAAAAAATGAAAACAACATCTCAAAAAAATATCTATACCCCGGTGTTCACTGCTGCATTATTAACAGCCAAGATCTAGACACAAACTACATGTCCTTCAGCAGTTGAATGCATAAAGAAAAAGTTATACACACATACACAATGGATTATTATTCAGCCTTAAAAAGCAGGAAATTCTACCATTTGTGCCAATATGGATGGAGATGGAAGAAATTTTTTAAGCCAAGTAAGCAAGACACAGAAAGATACCATGATCTGAATTATATGTGGAATCTAAAATAGTCACACTCATGGAAGCAGGGTAGGATGGCGGTTGCCAGGGGCTGGAGGGACGGGGAAATGGAGATACATTGGTCAAGGGGTACAAAGTTTAGGTAGTGCAGGATGAATACGTTCTGGAGATCTAATGTACGGCATGGTGACAACAGTCAACAACACCGTATTGTATACTTGAAATTTGCTAAGAGAACGATTTTAAATCTTCTTAACACACACATGCACACACACAAATGATAAGTAACTATGTGGAGCGATAGATATGTTAATTAACTGGATTGCGATGGTCATGTCACCATATATATATATAAACATCAACTTGTACATCTTAAATATATACTTTTTTTAACATATCAATGATATATCAATAAAGCTGTTGAAAGAAGCCTTCACAGACTATCCTATCATTATAAAATGTAGAAGTTTTGTGAGAATAAAATATTAATATTCTTTACAGTATTTAAACTTCACTGTATTTAAACTTTGGCAATAATATGTATAAAGTGCTAGAAAGTGTATGATTTACACTGGGTGGGAGAAAATAGGATATCATTAAGATTCTTGGAGCACTGGGTAATACCATTCACTGCTGTGGAGGCCAAAGGGTAACAGAAAAATATACATTTCTTAAGACTAGAGCTATATCTTATTTTACATTATATCCTCACTGCTAGGTAGAGGACATGGACCATATGACACTCAAAAAAATAGATAAATGAATGAGTAAATAAATGAGTCAGTTCCTCACCAATGAGAAATGAATAAACTTGGTGTCACATCTCCTTTACTCTGCAATGTAGTAATACTAACTTTTAAAATACAATTCCTGGATTTGGCAAAACATATAAAATTTCAGGATAACACATATATAAAAAATAGATATGGCCTGAATTTTAACAACTGAGCAAATCTCCTATCCAATGCATAGACTGCACCAACAAAGATCAGTTCTACTAAATACTGTTGATATGGGGGGGTGCGGCAATGCAAGCTAAACAGTGACAGGACAATGTGTAAGTTAGTCGGTACGGTCGGCTGGCTGAAGGGAGAGGAGGCTTTAAACAGTGATAATATTGGCTGTTTTCATTATAAACAAATATATTCAATTTTCTCTTGATTTTTTTTAACTACTTGTAATTCCTTTTCTAACCAAGAGTTCTTGGTCTTCTTTTCCAATGTCAGAAAGTTGAGTTGAATTAGTATGTGAATAAATGTGCTTATCAAATTTTTTTTCAAAATAATTTCTTAAAGCTGAGCTTCTAAATGTTCAGTTACTTCCATTAAATACTTCCATCAATTGCAGAAAGACTGCTTTTCACATCACTATTGTAGCAGATTCTTAGTATTTGTCAGAATATTTTTAGAGGAAAAAAACTCATATCTGTTTCATTTTATTCAGCACATAGCACAGGATAAATGTTCTATACAAATGGATAAATATTCTATACCTTTGATAAAAAGAATACCTAAAAGATTTAAAATTATTTTTCCAAAGAATTAAATGTAGAAAATTTTTGTTCAAGATATTTAGTTCTACTATGAAAAATGTTTCCTGGGTCTCAAATTCAACTGAAATGTCATTACTAATTTGAAATGCTTATAAATCTGTATGATATGAAAAAGAATATTAACTAGAATTCCTACTAAGAAGCAAAAGGATTATTACAGGCATGTTGTCCATATTGAAAGTAAACTACCATTATTCTTGATCTTGTGATATTCTTGAATATCACAAATAAAATGGGAAATTTTATTTGTGATATTCCACACAATAAATATTGGGGGGTTCATTTTCAAGAAAGAGAATTAGCTGTACAAGAGAATATTTTCATTAAAAAGTATATAATTGATTAAGGTGAACTGTTGTTAGTTATGGAAGGTGTTACCACAGTAGTCCAATTTTATCTAAGCCACTTGGTTTTATTTAATCTTAAAAATACCAGTATAAAAATACAGGTTGAAGTCTTAGATATCTAAGCTTGATGATATCTAGCCACTATCAGCCAGAAAAAAAAAATTTCCATATTTCAAATTATCCTATCTCACTCCATCAGTGAATGAGTATGTATACACACACACACACACACACACACACACACACACTCATAAATATATGGGCAAGTAGGAAATGTTACACATATGGTTTGGCTCTGTGCCCCCACCCAAATCTCATCTTGAATTGTACTCCCATAATGTCCATGTGTCCTGGGAGGGACCCGGTGGGAGATACTTGAATCATGGAGGCAGTTTCCCCTATACTCCTCCTGGCAGTGAAGACGTGTCACAAGAGCTGGTTTGATAAGGAAACCCATTTCACTTGGCTCTCATTCTCTCTCTTGCTGCCACCATGTGAGACGTGCCTTTCACCTTCCACCTTCCACCGTGATTGTGAGGCCTCCCCAGACACTTGGAACAGTAAGTCCAATAAACCTATTTCTTTTGTCAATTGCCCAGTCTCAGGTATGTATTTATCATCAGCATGAAAACGGCATGCATGGCCACAATATACATGCTTCAAGCATTTTCAGAGCACCTGGGGTCTTTCTCATTCAAATTATACTAAATCAGCCTAATACAGACATAACTAGTGAATGATATCAAAATAATTTAGCATTCTTTACTACTTATTTTTTCCCTTGAATAGATGGATATTTGCACTCCAAAACAGAGTTTTCAGTTTTGCTTAATATTCTGATTTTACCTCCTAAATACCATCTTTCTGCCCTGCTCTCTCAGCACCTCCACATCATGGTGGGCAAGGAAGATGCCATGTGGGGTCATGAAACAAAAGGCTTTGGATTGAGGTACAAAGCAATTGGATTAGCATCTGTTCATTTGCCTCGTGTTCTTGTACCTTTAGGACCAGTAGGCTTCAGTTTCCTCATCTATAAAATAAAGTAAGATGAGGTGACTGTGTAAGCCACGTGCTATGCATGTTTTGTTACATCCCATTATAAATGTGTTCATCATTTTCTTTTCTGTAACTTGGAATCATTTTGAAGAGTAAGTTCTCCAAAAATTAAAGTTTTCATGAGCAGGTAAATAATGATCTATTTATTATATTTTGCATCTACCCCTAAGAGTTCTTGTGAAGTATTTGACTTAGAGAAGTTAAATTGTATCTGCACTTAAGTGCTGTCTGTCAAAGAATACTGTATGGAAATATGTGTTTCATTTTATGAATAGTTAAAATAGTTTCAGATTATTTTAACTTAATAATACTCTAAATATTGCTAATTTTTCTCAGGGGATTTTTAGAGTTATTAAATATTTTAATTTGGCAGGCCAATGATGGTTCACATCCCAGCACTTTGGGAGGCCAAAGCAGGTGAATCACCTAAGGTCAGGAGTTCAAGACCAGCCTAGCCAACATGGTGAAACCCTGTCTCAACTAAAAATAACAA